TATCTATCTATCTATATATATATTTATAATAATAATAATAATAATAATAATAATAATAATAATAATAATAATAATATATGGTTCATTAAGACGGACTCGGAGATGTTGGAGGATTGTTTTCTCTTTGATGGAGTTAGGCTAGCAGTTTCCCTCTGCTTCCAGTCTTTGTGCTAAGCTAGGCTAAACATGTCCTTGTTATCTACAAACACCATAAAATGAGCAGTGATATCTTTAGAACTACCCTGTGGTTGCAGCGGTGTACTGTATTAGAACGGATTGAGTCTGTATTGGTGATATAGACGTAATGTGTGAGACGTTGCTGTAACTGATGATAGTTTGTTTAATACCTGTTTGGTTTTATACCATGAAACCTGAGACTTGAACCCTAAAGCTAACCAGCTATCACAATGTTTGGATGCTCCCTGTGTAGCTTCCACAGCATTAACTAGCTACAAACAACTACCATATAATCAGATATAGTAGTGGTTTGTACCTATAATCAGCAAGCTACTAACACTTAGAATAAAGTTGCATCTACTTACCCATTGGCACTAGCATAACATTGATTAGCAGCTAGATTGGCTAACAGTCTGCTTCTGCTTTGTGTTTTTGTGCTAGGTTAGGCTAGGCTAGGTTGTTGGTCAGATGGCTAACAGGATTACTTTAAAATGTGGAACTGTTCCTTTAAGTCGGTTTGATGTTTGAATAATCGATCAGCAGATTTTCGTGCAGTTTGTTGTGAATAATTCGTTTCATTTCCACCATTTTTCATCTTTTATGTTTCATTTCACGTTTCCAGCAATTACTGGGAGAGTTGAACGAGGTAAACCACAGACATCGAACTCATTTCAGGTTCAGAGGTCAAACCAGATAAAGTCCGACTGTGAGTCACTGTCTGTCTGTCCTCTGTCAGAAGCAGACAACCAGGACGGACTTCATTCCCAGTAAACCGGTCGCCACTCCGATGCCTCCGGCTCCCACGCCGCCACCTCCGGCCCCCGCCAGGCTCCCCACGCCGCCGCTGCCTCCTCCGCCCGCAGAGCCCACCAGGCCTACCGCTGCCGGCAGCGCGGTCAGCCGCCAGAACAGCACCACATCCAGCGACAACGGCAGCGTCGCCATGAGGGACCACGGCAACCAGAGGCCGGCGCCTGGCAGCCGTAAGTCCAACAAAATGTCTCCTTCTAAGTCCGTCTGTTCGTCCGAGAGGATTCTTTTATTTATCTTTGATTATCTAAAAATTTCTGTCTCAATATTTAGAAAATCATCTGAGAATGTGATCAGAATATTTTCCAGGATAAAGTCTCGATCAATAATTCTAGTGATCATATTTATCTGATAATCCTTCTGCTGGAGTTCGTCACCATCAGCGAACCGTGTGTCTGTCCTCGTCGCCCCCTGCAGGCAGGAAGTCCAACATGGAGGAGGTCCAGGACGAGCTGATGCACAGACTGACATTGGGTCGCAGCGCTCAGAAGAAGTTCCAGGTTCCAGCTCGCGGCGGCGGCGGCAACCTGCAGTCGGTCAGCATCACCTACGACTCCTCGCCAGACGACGTCAGAGCCTGGTTGGAGGCCAAAGGCTTCAGTCCAGTGTGAGTTTGTCTGTCTGTCTCCGTCTGTCTCTCTGCTCACTGTCTGTCTGTCTCACTGCGTCCAGCTGTGTCTCACTCTGTTTCACTGCGTCCAGCTGTGTCTCACTCTGTCTCACTGCGTCCAGCTGTGTCTCACTGCGTCCAGCTGTGTCTCACTGCGTCTCACTGTGTCTCACTGCGTCTCACTGTGTCTCACTGCGTCCAGCTGTGTCCCACTGTGTCCAGCTGTGTCTCACTGCGTCTCACTGTGTCCCACTGTGTCCAGCTGTGTCTCACTGCGTCTCACTGCGTCTCACTGCGTCTCACTGTGTCCCACTGTGTCCAGCTGTGTCCCACTGTGTCCAGCTGTGTCTCACTGCGTCTCATTGTCTGACTGCATCTCACTCTGTCTCACTGCATCTCACTCTGTCTCACTGCGTCTCACTGTGTCCAGCTGTGTCTCACTGCATCCAGGTGTGTCTCACTGTGTCTCACTGCGTCCAGTTGTGTCTCACTCTGTCTGTCCCCCCTGTGCAGGACCATCACCAGCCTCGGCGTCCTGACCGGAGCTCAGCTGTTCTCTCTCAACAAGGAGGAGCTGAAGACGGTTTGTCCCGACGACGGCGCTCGGGTCTTCAGCCAGGTCACCGTCCAGAAGGCGGCGCTAGAGGTGGGTGTCAAAAGTCAAACATGATGTCACCAAAACATCCCGACTTTAATCTCCCGCTGACACAGTTCAGACGACTTCGATACACAAATAAAATCATCAGCAACCAAAAACAGTTATTGATCATCAATAAAGTGATTGTTAATTAGCTGTGAGAATCAATAGTGTCATCGTACAGTGAGCTGGTCTACGAGCTAACGTTAGCATGCTAATATATAACATATCTGTTTCTTTAACTGCTGTCTGATAATAATGTGAACTTTAAATTATATTCCACAAAAAGCTAAATGCAAATAATGAAGAAAATGACCAACTACTGTCAGTTAGCTTAGCATAACCAGAATACCTGAATATACAAAAGATTTGCAGTTAATCTGGTTTTACAGTGTAAATATTAAGTTGAACTAATTAACTCAAAAAGTGTTGAAACTGATTTACATTGAAAATGTTAAGTAAACTTAATAGTTTAAGTCAACAAAACATTCCTGATCAAGTGGCAAAGTTACTAATTTTAAGTAACACTGATTTAATAACTGAACACAGTAAAGTGTCATTTGATGATGTTTTTGCAGGTTATATATTAGCTCATGATGCTACAGTCACTTCCTGTTTACACAGCTGGCTGCTCCTGATTGGACGGCGCTACAGACGTTTCAGCAACAGATTAATTAAATCTGAGACATTTGTTCAGTTTCAACCTGATTTAGTGAATCCCAGTTTGAAACTGAGGAACTGGTTTATGGAGAGCTGCTCCAGCAGAGTCCTGATCAGGATAGATCTGGTCCCGGTTTGGTCTGTTGAGGGTCTTCTCTGTCTTTAAGCTTTCTATCCCCCAACTCTGGCAAGGTCTGGTGTGTGGTGTCTATTTCCACCTGCAGGTTTTCTTCTGAGCCTCCTCTGATCTTCTGTTTCCAGTCTCATGAAGGTATCGTGTTCACAAACGGACGTCCGCTGCCTCCTTCTGCCGACCAGAGAAGGAACAGTCACAGTTTTAAAAGCAGTTCAGATCAGATCAGTTCAG